GGGCTCCTCATGGTATGATTTTATTGTCGCCATTGAAACATTGAAGTGGGAACTTCAGTCTCGCTATAATTGATTGATATGTGGGGTTTAACGTCCCAAAACCACCATATGATTATGAGAGACGCCGTAGTGGAGGGCTCCGGAAATTTCCACCACCTGAGGTTTTTTACCATGCACCCAAATCTGAGCACACCGGCCCACAACATTTCCGCCTCCATCGGAAATGCAGCCGCTGCAGCCGGGATTCGAACCCGCGACCTGCGGGTCAGCAGCCGAGTACCTTAGCCACTAGACCACCACGGCGGGGCGGACGGAAGCCCGAACGGAAGCATGGACGAACAGAGGGACGCACGCGTGGGCGAACGGTAGCACGCATGGATGGACGAACGAACACACGGATGAACGGATGGACGGATGCTTCGCCTCACCCATCATCATTCACTCCGTGCATATTCTGTGATTTTCCGACCGCCTTAATTCCCATTCACGACAAGGAGGGATGCATGTAGAATTGATCATTGCACTAATTCAAATTATTACTCATGCAATAATATTTCGCAATTGGTCCTGACAAAAAGAGCGGAAGGGAAAAAAACACGCAGCACCGCTACAGCAAAAGCTGGCCTTCCTAAAGCTCTTTATTAAACACTGTTTAGGTAAATGATACAATCACTCTTGAATGGTTATCACGTTGCGAATAATCATGACTGATTTTTTTTTTTTTGTGTAGCGATGAAGCACCCACTGTGCCAGTCTTTGTCATTCTTCGGAGAAGCGTGGTACCCGCTACACTCTTCAAGAGAAATTTGCTCAATTGGTCGATGTTGTGGCTGACGGCGACGCTGGGGCATTCGACGACCCACTCGTTAAGCAATTCGCATTGTGTAACATCAGGTTGTTCGTGTGCTGTTTTAAAGAGCTTGATCAAACATTTTAAGGCTCTTCGATTCCCGACATAAAGGAAACGTATTTAAGCTAAATTTTCAAGCACTGATTGCCTTGCACAGTGTATGACGCTCTCGAATGGCAGGGTTTCAATGTGACTCTCACAAGAGACCAGAAAGACAGTATTTCGAATAAAGTATAGCAGGGTTTTTCCACGTATTGACAACAAATGAATGTGTTTCTTGATGGTTAGAAAGCGTAGGAGCCGTGCTTGCTAGGAGGGAATCATAAGGCGTGACGACCTTTAACATCGCTGGATATTCATGTTGGCGTTTGTTTTGTTATTTTTGTTACGTATTGTATGATGTTTATCTTGTTCTCTTGTACGCACCGTCCAACGCGAAATTAAAGAAAAAACCTTCGGGGCTAAGCTTTTAACCACTGACACACAGGGGACACGGGTTGTAATCTCATAGTGTCCTCGGTTTTCTCATTTACCTAACTTTTTTTTCTATTTCCTGCGATAATGGTTATGCACCGCGGCAGCGAGGGGCAACTACTGTGCCAAAAACGACCCTTCTCGTTATCTCATCATAGTTTTCACTTAAAAAAAACGTACGCCTGCCATGCACACACCAAGCTATGCATGCTGCCACTTTTTGAGCAGGAGAAAGGCTTCTGAATTCTTGAGTAGAATGGTGGCTACTGGCTGAGTTAGCCCAGTTTTTGCGGCCTTCGTGTTTTTGTTGACGCATATAAAAATTACACGAAAACCCATTCATTTGCAGCTTCGCTGGAATACACTGGCAATACGCATGATCTTGTCCCAGAAACAGCCAAGCACTACAAAAATTACTGACCTTGGAATATTCAGATGTCATTGCTGTTTAAGAAGCCTAGGCTGGCTGAGCTATGTTTAGGAGCGTAACCTGCATTGAGGCGAAAAAAGCAAGCAGCAATGAACAACTTCAACGCTGCTTGGTTTTATAGTTCATACTGTATAGCAGTGGCCGTAGTATACGCCATCTAAAAGCAAGAAAGGGTCGATAATGCTGACGTATGTTCTGTAAAGTGAGACCGAACGTTATGTTGGACCATAAATTGCCCTGTACACGCTACATGCTCAAAGTTGAATATTCGGCATCGGTAGCGCTGTGCTGGCTCCATCCCGTGATACTTACTTCTTCACATTTACAATACATTTACCTCATATAACATCCCGTATACTTTCCTTGGCATGATTGTCTATTACGTGCGATTAATATTGTGTCTAACAACAAAATCGAGCCCTTAAGTGTACACTACTTAAATTCATTCATAGCGAGAGTCTCGTTCTAGCAGACTTGGTGCCTTTAGGCTGTATAAGAGGAATTACTGGTCAGCTGTCAGCTCGTCCACGTGTTACTAGACGCCAAATAGGCAGGAGAAGTGTTCTGCACTCGTCGTCAGGCTAAATGTGGAGCTGACTGACACTCCCACGTTTATTTCACATATATACCCAATAATGTGGAGGGAGATACCGCCGCGGTAGCTCAGTTTGTAGAGCATCAAGCGCGTTACTCGAAGGTCGCCGGTTCGGGCCTTGTCCATGTCAAGTTGTCTTTCCATCCACATTTCTTTCTTCCATCACTATTCTTGGACACATATTATGTGAAACAAACACCATACGAGCTGACAAAGAGCCTAATATACAAATATCGATCACGCACGAACTACGGTGACCAACGATTAGCGTCACAAATTCCAAACATTCTAAACAAACACCCATTTATATTACATTTAGTGGAAGACGGAATTTCCGCTAGATCATTTTAAAAAATAACGAAAGAGTTTATATTGGATGAAAGCGATGCTTTTCTTGATTTTAGAAATTTGTAGTTAATGATGTTTTTGTATTCGTTGCCCCTTGTTCATTATTGTCCCTTTGCCTATTGTTTATTATACTCTAGTTTGTCTGGTAGAGGAACTCGATTTCCTAGTCAAGATGTCTCTTGTTAATTTATTTGATAGAAAACATGCATTTTTTTGTATTTGCCACCACTCGAATAAGGCCTGTTTATATTTCTATTCTTTTATTCACACTTCTGGCAGTTCCTGTTCGACTATGGTACCCGTGTAAGATAACACGTGATGTTGTAATTTTCTGCGTACTGTACTTGCGGTATGTTTCTGCTTTGCTGCCAGGGTGGCACGACCAAGTCAGGCATTTAATTAGCCTTTAGTCGTGTCCTCCAAGGCAGTCTTGTTCAATTTCGTCTTGAATAAAGCAAACCAAAAACCAAATTGGCATTACAATTATCTCAAATAACAACCCTTATACTTTCCTTGCAATGACTGTCAGTTAGATCTCATTATTATTGTGTCTAACAAAGAACACAAAGTAGGCCTCAAATGTAATCTTCTTTCCTTTACCACTTTACTACATTATCGCACGTTGCACATGCGATAACGTTTACATAGCTACATTGCACTAAATTCCAGTCCTTGTTCAAGTAAGCACCGCGTGTGGATAGGCAGGTAGAGTTGTAAGGACTAACCGGAAGCATTATTCTTCAAGGAAAAATTCAACTCAGGATGAAGTGCTAGTCGTTATTGTATATCCTTATCACAAATAATTGTTTGCGAAAAGGAGTGTTGGTGTAACGTAGATTCATCAACCACACGAAGGCGTTTATTTTTATGGGAGATATGACCCACGACACGATTTTGCAACGCACTAGGCGTTACGCGTCTTGTGTTTTTTTCCGAAAGCAAGACTCGCCAAGCCATGCATGCAACGTGCTCTGTTCAGTTTGCGGCACCTAGTCTCGAAAGGAAAGGGGGGACCTGGCTATCGGAGCTGCTTCAGGTATTGTCATGTACATGTTTCTGTTTAGCCGAAATTCGTAACTCTAATATAATAATAATAATAATAATAATAATAATAATAATAATAATAATAATAATAATAATCTCTGCGTTTGAAGTGGCTACACGCCTTTGTGATTATGAAACATGCCATGGTGGAGGCTCCGGAGACTTCGATCATGCGACCAGTTTGTAAATATGCCCGGAGTGCTTTAGCGAACACTTTGCTACTCTGAATTATAACTTATCAACTTCTATATCTTACCCACAGCCCTACGGCGTATAGGTAGCGTCGTCCACAAAGAAATGATTTTTCAAACGGTCTTGCTTTTGAGGAAACCTGTCCACTGCTTTTTTCTTTTGCTTTAAGGAAAAAATGACTATGCTAAGAGGTTCATTCTAGTACACCGTTTTTTTTTGATGGACACCTCTCGGCTGATTTTGGCCGTCGCCACTGCCGCCGTCATTCACGTATATATATATATATATATATATATATATATATATATATATATATATATATTTATATATATATATATATATATATATATCGGGAACGATGCGTAGTCTTCTCTTCCTTTGGACCGAACTTTGCCTTTCCGGCCCGCGTCGTCTGCGCGCGCACGGCTATTCAGTGAGAGAACACTTTGGGGGAGGGGTAAAGGATGTGCACATGGTTGTCGCGCTATCGCAGCAGCGGTCAGCGCACGGCTTCTGCCCCCCCCCCCCCCCCCCCCACAGCAGGCGGGAGCTTTTATGGGCTGTGTTCTCAACACGAAAACACGGTGCCAAAAGTGCACCGGGAGCGGCCGTGTTCTCTTACAAAAGCGTTTTGTAGAGTTATGTCAGATCGCATCTAAGTGAGTTGACTGCCAGCCTCACTTCGTATAACATTGCAATTTGTTCCTATTGCATTCGATGCATCGCCCTTTTGGTGAAACTGCAACTTTTTTAGAACATGCTAAGTTTTAGATGAATGGATGACGAGTTCTGTATAGTAGCACCATTCTAAACAGTTTAAACAAAATGTCTTATCGAAGATTGTAGTATGAGGCTAAATTAGTGTGATAATTTCTTTTTGATAACTTTTAAAGACTTTTACAAGAGAACAAATTTGTTTCCGCAGCTCATATTTACTTATTTGTGTCTTAAACAATACGCTGAGATGAGAGATATGGCGCTGTGTTGTGGCAAAAAACGACCATTCCCTAAATATCTACAAAATGATGAATGTGCGCTAATGAAAACTCAACCGATTTCTGTTCCAGTGGCCTACCAATTCTCCGAAATTCAGGAAAAGGCAAGTAAAAAGAGCATCTTCAATATCAATATGCAGACAATCGCTATTTTCAAAATTAACAATTTGCATTTTTAGTGTAATACAACAAATCAGAAAATAACACAGCACAGACGCCTCAATAATGAGGAAGGAAGAGAGGACTTTTTCAGACCCATGTGAAGTAAATAAGTCTATTTCAATTTCAGGTGAATAGAAGAAAAGCAACAGTAATGATACCATCGGTGGAATAACGATATCAAGGACGACCAGTTCATCATTGTAACTTTCGGTGAACAGCAACAGAAAATTATTTCCGCACGTTTTACTACATACCCCTGAAATACAGACTTCATTGCATTGTTAGTGTTCAAGAAGCTGATGTTGTTTATAAGATCTAAAGTGAGATAGCATCGAAATGAACATCGAGACAAACGCTTCACTAGAAGGACTGCATAGGTACTAGAAGCAAAGAAAGGGTGATCCAGGGGCTTTGTGCGCATTAAGAGGCTCAGAACATGGACGCATGTGACATTTCACGGTGCGCTACACCGCACAAGCGTGATGAATTATTTGCTAATAAATTTTATGACAAACACGCCGTGTATTTGAATATGTTGTGATAAGCTCTATTTTGCTATCAACGCACACTTTCGAAAAGCCTGCAATATATAGTTTTTTTTTATTCTAATATATGCTCGCTGATAGTGTTGGGCAAGCTTGTCATGAAGATATTTTTGAACAGATCATTACACCACCTTTTCAAGCCCGCATGCTTTGAATTCACTAAGATTATTGCCGTGCGACTTCACCACCACAAAAACTTTTACAGCCCGTTCAATATGTGGGAGAAATGGCATCGTTGTCAGATATAGGAAGGAGACGCAGTGCTACTTACCGCATCAGTCCATCATCATTCGTACGTCTGTCGTCGTACCACCGTCTCCCAAGGTCTGGTTAGAGGGAAAATTTGTTTTGGACAGACGGTCATACCTTGGCAACGGGGCCACCGCTCGGCGGCAGGTACCAAACAGACGTGGTCTGCTTCTCGGCGTACAAGCATGGGGACCAAATAAAGGTGCTAGTCTTCAACGTGGTAACTTCGGTCACAACACACAAAGCGGCAAAGAAACGGGCCAGTGAGACTCGACGGAGCGGCTACTCTTTGGCGCGCTCACTTCCATCCCCACGCGCAAAGCGCACGTACCCTGACAAGGTGGGCTCTCGCTCGGCGCAGAGTGCTTTGCGGTCACGGCCCGTACCCTGGCCGCCACGGGCCAGCGGTACTCGATAGAGACTACCCTTCGGCGTGGTAACTTGCGCCACCGGTCACAAAGCGGACGTACACTGAACCTCTACTAAGGGCGCAGTAACTTTTGTAACCTTCGGCGCAGTAACTTTTGTAGCCGCACACAAAGCGGGCGTACCCTGACACGTGACAAAGGGACTGCCCTTCGGTACGGTAACTTCAGCCACCGTACACAAAAGATAGTTATAGTATACCGGGCTTACAGGGATACCGGGTGTACCGTGATACCGGAATGCAAGTGCGCATGCTCAGATACGCACGTTGCCCGTACCACTTACCGCACGCGCGGTATTTTTCAGATTTAAGGTTGCCTTGGTAGTGTAAGTGTACGTAATGTATGTAAACATGACGGCGCTCTCGGACGCCCGCTTCGACGTTATTTTGGCATAGTTGTTAAAAGATTGACCTTGTTCGCAGCAAACGACTGTTTAAAGTGGCTTGGCTTACCTTCAGTTAGCTTCGATGACCGAGAATTACGAAAAGGTGGCGTAATTTTTGAGATAGCTTCGCATTTCGAACGCGTCTAGGCCTAACTACAAGATCGATGTAAACAAATCGGCAACATAATTTTTTTCTTGTTTGGTGCGTGGTTCATATTTATTTCCTTTCTGTATTAGTAAAATAAACTTGTAACAATGTTTCGCGGGGTGGCATAGGCAAACGTTCTCGTTTTCTTTTCTTTTTCACTGTCGTTAACTTAATAACCATTCGATAGGGGGTGCCACCATCCCAGCTGGGGCACGCAAACGACGTAAAAGCTATTTTGCTGAAGTACAAGGCGCTGTGCACAAGGAACCTTTGCTGCAGGGTAACGCAAATCTCTTTACCTCCGCTATCACGTTGACCGTGAACTAAAACTGCCTATCGTGGATGTACCTTGACACTTTCGCGAGGCTGAAAGCCGGCGACGTCCCATTAGGACGGATGGGATATCCCTCGTCGCAAGGCGCTTTTATTTATTTATTTCAAATACCCTCTGGGTACAAACATTCCACACAGTAACACCGTTTCATCTCAAAATAAAATCAGTGTTTGTTTCACGCCTTTACTTGTTATATATGTTATTTGCTAAGCTTCTAGAACTTTCGTTTTAAAAACTGTTAGTGCTGCGCATTATGCTTTCTTTTCTCGGTTTTACCATTTTTTCGTGTTATGTTTTTACCTCTCGGACGTTGATGAAGTATATGCACTTTAAACGAGCTCTTGCTCTAACACACCCGATTCATTAAGTGTTTTGATTACTGCAATAATAATTACGCCTACTTTTTCCTTTGTTTTGTGACTCATATTTGTTGAGCGCCCCTGTGATATTTTCTATCTATAATTTGTACCTATAATCAAGTTGTTACTATGTAGTAACCTTTGCCCCTCCCCTCTTCAATATCATCGCCCGTCTCATAATTACTAGGGTGATGTGACACACAATTCGTCCTTTGAGAACTACGGGACTACTATTTTGTGCATAAGTCAAGGCCGCATCACCCATACCCCACGTACCCTGGTAGGCCAGCACGACTAAAAGTGGGCCTAATCTTGCATGGAGAAGGGAGCCACCTTCCGCCTTGGCGAGTAGAGTCGCCGGGTACGAAAAAACAGACAACAGGGACGTTGCTGGTAAAGCCCGACAAAAGGACAGGATCACCACAGCATATGAATGAAAAACTCAGGCGAACAAACACGAAAACAACATTCAGGGGTGACCGCCTCACCAGGCTGGGTTGTGAAACTTTAAAAAACGTCATCAATATAATTTTATAATTACCTGCCCTTATGGCTCACTGACAATCACTGCCAGACGGTGCCACATCTCATATTTTTTGCACCTAAGCTATGCCACTCCGTAGTTGGGGAAGAAGAATACAAAAGAAAAGTACGGAAGTTCTTTCCGTACAAAAGAAAAGTACGAAAGGTATTTCCGGGCTTCAAGCACTCCTTGAAGCCCGCACCGCTTCTCACCAAAGATCGCACAGCACCGTGCTACCCACATTGGGTAGGAGCACTCAACAAGCAGAAGCACATACTGCTTTACTGCTCATCCAGAGAAGGGATGCAGAAAACGAACAGTGTCGAAAGGAACATCGGAGTAACCAAACAAGCTAGCTATACTTCAATGAACGATGGCTGGTAGCTCACACTGAGAAACGATGTGAACCAGGTCCTCCCTACTGCCAAACAATTGGCACATTCACCGCCTAGAGATTTTCCTGAAAAGCCCGAGCGTTATCAGCAGGCACCCTCTGTCAAGGTGGTGCATGAAAGTAGCACGCCCGGTGTTCAGAAAACTGGCAGTAATGAGCTTCCAGTTAAGACTGCGTTGGGACAAGATTAATCTTTTGCACTTCGCAGGTAACTGAGGGGTGAGTATATTGAGTAACTCATGAAGTTCAATTGCAGCTTAATCTATCTCGGGCTCAACCTCTTGGAGACAGACCAAAGTAGAAGCAGACCCTGCATACAAGGCAGAAGGCGTTCCTACACGGGGCACGAAGCTCGAAAATGCCTCATGTGAGAACAGCCTCAGATATGTGCTGAGAAATACGACGCAAAGCTTCTAGTAACAAGCTTATCCGAATCGAGAGCTACCCGTGTCCATCTAAAGTGTAGTGCCATGGCCACGATGCCCATGTTAGGTTTGCTGAGTCGTCCTTCATCCCTGCGAACCTTGAGCATGAGTGTGCTGAGTACAAAGATGAGTCACTTCAATGGCGACGAAAAGGAGTCCCCTGGAGGGCTGGCCCGGTTCAGGGCCTCACAGGCATAACGGAAGCTACATACGTAAAAAACTGAACAAAAATGACCGAATTGTGGTAACTCCATAGCTGTAAGTGGACACAAGGCACAAAGCTGCCGAATCCTGTTGGTAAGCTTCCTCTAAGCTAGTCGTCAGTTTTTTGTAGTCAGGCTATCTGGTTCAAAGTGCAAAGCCAAAAAATTAAGGGACCCTAAAGCTCCACTTTTAGAGTTGAACACGATAGCGCCATCCTATTCCTAGTACGTACTTCAATCACTTAGTGCATAAAAGCTTTCCGAGTTTGCTATGCGCTCACTGCATGGCCTCAATAGAATAGGTGCAGTAGCTTGAGTGCATATTGTACTGCCAGCTTTTAACCACAGAGCCATTATGATAATTACATACTCAGACGCCCTTTGGCAATTGACGCTTGTACCACGCAATATTACTGCAATATTTCATGTTGCATTGTGAATCATGTATACAGTACGCGTGTTGGTGAAGCATCAAAGCTACTTTCACTGCATTTCCAAGCAGAAGAAGTTATTTTTCAATGTTTTGCAAGCAGAGGCGTGGCCGTGCACAAAGAGGCATCACGAAGACAACATTGCTTCCGCATGCGAGTTTTCCATAAACTATGCATGCCCAATAACATAAGCATGTCAACTGGCATGTGATTGCATTTGGGTGAAACGAGATGACCGATAACTGTGCGGCTAAGTGAATTTTACGACCAACTGCAATTTCAGCCAGACTGGTACGATCAGTTCCTAAAGTGTGCTACTTAAATACCGCTTTAGACATTGCATTGTATTAGATTTACGTTGTAACGTTCATTGTGCATTTGTCGACTTGACCTTATGTATATTGTACTCTATGTACATAGGTAAGCCGCATTTGTATTAAATACCATGTAAGAAAATAAAAGAGGCATCACCGTGTGGCAAAACATTGGCCTGGCACGCAAACAACCCGAGTTTTATCCACACTTG